CTTAACGCCAAGCCAGCCGCTTCCTATTTTTATCACGGTTATTTCCCATTTTAATTTTACGTCGTACTGTTGCGTAATGTATATTCTGATCGTAAGCGACACAACCTCCCCCTTCAAAAACCTAAGCGATACTAACGGGCGACAGGAATCAAGCTCAAGACGCCGATAGTTTAGGTAATTTCTTTTTACAGTGAAAATAATGGTATTTTAAAAAAAGTAAATAACATAAGCACTGCTTTATAGTTAGTTCAGTTAGTATGCAAAGTTTCATGATCTTATTTAAAGTATTTTATGAATAACAGCGGTTTATTGTTTATTTTGGATGTAACTTTGGATTTTTTTTCTATCGAGAAAATTTTACGAAATCGTGTTTTCGTCTAACATAATCATTAACATTAATCCTCCACTTTACCATATATTTATTTCAAAATTAATGCTGCAATATTTTCGGCATAACGAAGGATCTTGCTAAGCCATTTGACATTATATTTCCCCTTAACATAAGCTTCAGCACGGACAGTACCAATTCCAACAGCCTCGATACTTTGCCCATTAGCCCCTGTGACGGTGTGGGAAGTTTTAAAATATTCAAAATGTTCGAAAAAATGAAAGATGAAGAGAAGTGAAAGATGACCTTATCACAAAAATTGATAGGGGCGTACTCCAATGGTTTGGGCACGTTGAGCGAATGAGTGAAGACCGAATGGTGAAGAAAATATATAGAGCGAAAGTAAATATTAAAAGGTGTCGAGGTAGACCGAGACTAACTTTCGAAGACCATGTGAGCAAATTGCTCGAAGAGGGGAAGGTCAAGAGTACTCGGATACCTAGACGTGCATGTATGAAGAAGTTAATGAACCTGAAAGAAGCGAAAGAGGTATGTAAGGATCGTGACACTTGGCGATCTGTTCTCTCTGGCTACCCCGTTAGGGATTGTGCTTGAAGATAAGTAAGTAAGTAAGTAGTTCGAAAAAATCCCCTCTATTGCTTATGTGACTGGTAGCGCCATTATCCACATACCAATTTGTCGTATCTACTAAATTGTCCATCAATAAAACCGTTTGGTTAGTTTGATTTATATTCACGCTTAATTGTTTAGGTGGCCTTCCTTCACTGATCCACTTCTTGCATTTCCTTACTCTATGTCCTTGTTCCCCACAGTAATGACATTTGAAAAATTTCTTCCAATTCTTATCTTTTCCGCTAATTTTTCTTTCTGGTTTTGCGTATAGTGCCTCAGCACAATTCTCCCATGCTATCGGATACAGCTACAGCTGAAGAGAATCAGAAATATGAGAATTAATTAAAAGAGTTTGTGAATGTAGATAGTACAATCCTAATAATATTTACTACGAACATGTCTGAAGAGACACTGCAGCAAGTCATGCGGTTCATTCTCTTTTGTTTAGGAATATCAACATAGCACTGACAACCTGTAATTCTCAGATGTTTAAAAGCTGGTTTTTTGCCATGCCACAATTCATGAGGAGACTTTGCTGCAATCTTCGTTGGCCCTGTTCGATTTAAAATGTAAACAGTGGTATTTACGATTTATGGCGCATCAAAATAGATTTCTTGTAATCGAAGGTACATACCAAACATCCTTTAGTAAAATATTTTCTAGTCCACCTTTAACAGAATTATTATACGACTTAGGGACCTTCAAGAAAAGAGCCCACTTATTCTTAAAAGGCCGGCAACGAACCTGCAATGTCCCTGGTGTTGCAGATTTTCATTTTTTTAATAGAAGAGAGGTCAAACGAGCATGCGGGTCATCTGTAGTTAAGTGACTACCGCCGCCCATGTTCACTATCGTCCATGAAATGGACTTATGAATATCACTTACTATCAGGTGAGTCATATGCTCACTTGCCTCTTCTTCCATAAAAATATATTTACTAAGTAGCAATAAAGTTGATGATTCGAATAAGTTGTTGATGATGATGACGATGATGTCTTCCTAAATAATTTTAGTAACCAAATCTGAAGGGAATGTTATATTACCAAAAGTGCAATAGTCCTACCCAAGTCGACTGCTGAACACAGGCGTATACCAAGTTATGCCATTAAACATGGTACTAAGCCACCTACATAAGTATATCTTTTATCTTAGATTTGCATTTAATGTTACCAGGTCGTCACTACATCTAGTGAGGGACAACCTACACTTTCCTCATCGATACGAAGTTGCATCTCGAGAACCTTTCTTCCGCATCCGCTGGTGGTGCTTCGAGCTACGCCATGTCCATTGTCACATCAGCTTACTGATCCTTTGGGGTATGTCGGTTCCCCTGGTTCTACAGCACATATCCTCATTGCGAAGTCTATCACGCAGATAAACTTTGAACATAGCGCTTTTCATAGTTCACTGAGCATAGCATCTCCATAACGAACATGAACTTTCGTGACAGAAATAACTAAGAGGATGATTTTTATGAAAACGTACTTATAGTCACTAAACAACTTTTAAAATGGACCTTTTCTCGTAGGATAAAAGATCTATCTTTGATCCACACACATAACACCACTACATCGATATAGGTATTTTGAAGAGTGCCCCACCTTCAAAAGGTCTACTCCCAAATTTCTATACTTCTATAATCAACCCCGAACAGTCGTGTTTTCTACATCTGTCAATAGACTTAGAAAACCAGTTATCCGTTGCAGCCCTAGAGTATATAATTACAGTAGTAGTAATTATATACTCTAGGGTTGCAGCCTATCAAAAGACCTCTTCTAAACATAGGCCTCCCAAAAGAGTGCCTAATAGAATTAATTGATTTTTGCCGTAGTTGTCGCACTTGGCAAGCGGGTTGGCAACGGCACTTTTTATTTTTAGTTATAATTAGAGAAACGCTGCTGCCAGACTCCTGATTCCACTCTGAACTTCTGACACCCACGGGACGTTATGGGACATTCTTACACCGCCACTGCACGGTGAACGATATAGAAAACATCAATGTTAAAAATCGAATCAACTTAAATTGTGGCCTAAACAAGATCCGTTCTTCTTTTATTAAAAAAAAAAACATTAGAAGAAGTATATATTATAAAAAACAATAAATAATTGTATAAAATAGACAAACAAACCTTTTAATTATACAAATCCACAGTCTTAATGTGCTATTGCGTGGCGCCAAAACCACTTGTAACAGCAGTAAAATTGATTATATTTAAACACTACTCGCCGCTCCGAGATACATTACACTAATACTAAATCAATTCAGACCAACCGCTTAGTAGTAATGGATGTACACTGTAATTAATGGAACACCCATTATGTTTTTTATAACCGTTTTCATTTACTTTTTAACGCTCATTTTCTTGAAAGTGACACCTCCTTGTTATAAATCTAAAATATTTTATTCAGTAGGTATATTTATTTAAAATCTCTCTTGGGTTCAACTTAAAGGAGTATCAAAGGGACTGTATACTAGTTCCCATTCCACTAAGCGATGGTGTGATGAAAATAAAATTGCAGGTGCCGTAATTAATTAAAAAGAATATACATCCATTTTTATAGGATAAGGTTGACAAACGAGCACACAGTCTACATCTACATCTATCCTCGGTTACGAATCAAAATACAGATGCATTGTTACACGTGAGGACTAAAATGAAATGCCTCCTTTCCAGTAAGAAGTCTCCGGTTCCCTACACTCACCATACGAAACACAGCAGCGTTAAGCTAACATTTTACGCTGGTAATCTCTGAGAGCTTGGTCCTTCCCCGGTCGAGCCGACCCATTCGTGCTACAAATATATTGCTAATATAGTCGCAGGTTGGTTCTACCACGTAAAGATCATAAATACTTACATAAATATAAACCTTGTTTAACAAATTCCAATAAAGGTAAAAACCCTAAGCCACACGTTGTAATGCGGTGAAAAGGGGAAACCTAAGTACTCGTAGTGGTAAAATCATAAAACTCTTCAATTTGCTAGCTCTGTACGTCATATGAGCGAATTTCTTTATAACGTTATAGAATATTTATACATCTTTGATTTCTTATCAGATTGGTGTCATATGTTGCTCACGAGCTCTTTAGCGACATAATTTACTTGTTGCCTTCACAAATATTCTCTATAAAATTTCGACTCAAAAAGTAGTACCGAGTTTTGTCATTTTATTAAACAAATATCGTGTCTCTTTTCGAAAATTAACTTTCTCATTCTCATTTTTACTAAATCCCATGAAATTGTCATAATATCATTATTGTTACTTTTGAAGCTTTGACACCTGTTGTCTTCAATTTTTTTTCTTCAGCCCAAAAAGCCCGTATATAGAATCTCCCCTGGTTTTGTATTGATGTATTGTATACTATTTTTTGTGTTCAAAAACATGTCCCGCAGTATTTCCTGCTGGTTCGTCCCAGAACAGAAGTTGTTTCCGAACCGGTCGAAAATTAAATATAATCGTGACTTTTGATAAGTATTATTTATAATCTACCTATATTGAATAAAAAAGTTTCTGTTTCTGTTTTCATTGCTTATATAAATCAGTTGAATAGTTATTACAAATTATATTCATTAATATTAAAGTTAAAAAAGTTAAATTTACAGCCTATATACGTCCCACTGTTGGGCATAGGCCTCCTCTCATTTCTGAGAGGGCTTTAGGGCAAGAACGTGTCCGCCTGCGCTGCCCCAATACGTGTTGGTAAACTTCACATATCGTCGAAATATTTTTTTTTGATTTCTCAGACATGCAGGTTTCCTCGCGTTGTTTTCCTTCACCGACGAGCACGGGGTAAATCAGCACTTAAAATTGCAATTATTGATTTCATTGGAGCCGGCGGGGATCGAACCCGGGTCGCTAACGTATTGTGAATTTTTTTTCAGTATTTCACTTTTGTAATAAAGTATATTTTCTTATAATTACACAAGCTTCATAAAGCTTACAATGGAATCCCATAGCTTTTTTAGTCAGAGACTGAAGCCCATATCATCATCGGACTCCTCAGGTTCTTCCTCCTTTTTCTCTTCCTTGGCGGGTTCTGCTACCGGGCCGCAGTTGAAGCAGCAGCGGGTGCACCACCAACCGCAGGGGCAGCTTCAACTTCAGATCCGATGTTTGTGATGAGGTCACGCACATTTACATAATATGGCTCTACATCAACGGCAGCAGCTTTAAGAATAGTGGAGATCTTTTTACCGGTAATGGCGACATCATTATCAACCAAGATGAGAGCGGAGTAAACACAAGCTAATTCAGCCCATGATGCCATTTTTGAGTTATTTAGTGCAAGTCAAAAGTAAAAAGCAAGTGCAAGAAATTTACAGCAACCACAGCTCCTCTGAGCTACTAAATATTTAAATTTTATAATTAGTAATATTATGAAAAAAAATTACGGCATTATTGTATCGATTATGTTTCAAAGCCGTTAAAGCTATCTATACATACAGATACGATCTCACAGATATATTCCAGCATTAGAAAGGCATTGAAAATGAGGAACAGAATTTACAACTTCTAGTGAAAATTCTATAAATTAATTCAATGGCCTCGACATCGCTCGGATACTCTTGGTATATTAGAATTCAGAAATGTATCTATTTGATTCAATTTTCAATTTGTTATGGTATAATAATAAAACTTAAAAATAAAATAAAATATTTTCCGCAAACAACAAAACGAAAAAAAAAAAATTCTTGCTTATAAACTCATAACTTTGAAATTTATACATTACAGCTGATTCAAATTCCAAATCCTAAATAGCCCACCCGATACATACCATACATACTCTCGAAAAACTACCCTTTTCCTGCACTCCTTCCAGTCAGGTGAAAATAAATAAAAATGGATTTGTTTTTATGTGCTCTAATCTTTTGGAAATTGCCACCGTTATAATTTGACCACAAAGACGTCGTCAACATTTATTTCTTCTTAATGTTTTCTATTTCACAATCTCGAAATCTTCGAAAGGATCCTAATTGTTCAGTTTAAAACATGCATTACTCCCATAAACATATTGTTTTTTATTTTATATTTTGTTTTGTGCTTTACCTTTTATTCTTATTTGGTCGAATTTACATATGGAAAGTTTCACTAAACCTATAAAGTAGCGGAGGTATCTAGGCAATATATTTCTTGGCGACACACGACCTGCGAATCTATCGCTCCGTTATCTCGCTGGATAGCGCTGTATATAAGTATTTCACTGTACATTAAGTAGCACGCACTATACTGTTAGCTTTTCTTTTCATTAAATGTTCCATGTACTCCATGACACGACAACTTTAGTAATATCACTTGAAAAATAAACGACTTGATATATAGATATTAAACAAGTGAGTACATAGTCCACCTGATGGTAAGTGAACACTGTGGTATCTACATTTATCGTCGTTTAAAAATCAAAATGCAGATGCGGTTCTCCAAACTCACACAACGCTCTACAACACGGCAACATTAAGCTGCTATTTTACGCTGGTATACAGTGAGAGCGTGGTCCTTCCCCAGTCGAACGGATCCATTCGTGCTACAACTACTATAATATAGCTGCAGCGTGGCACTACCAGGTATGCATACAACATATATGTAAATTATTGTGAATTATTGGAAGGACCACTCTCTCACGAAATACTATAATATACGTGGTAGAGCCATGCTGCAGTTATATTAGTAGTATAGCTGTAGCACGAATGGGTCGGCTTGACCGGGGCAGGACCACGCTCTCACAGAATACCAGCGTGAAATAGTAGCTTAATGCTGCTGTATTTCGTATGGTGAGTGTAGAGAACCGGAGACCCTTTTTACTGGAAACGAGGCATTCCATCTTAGTCCTCACGGGTGCCAACACATCTGCATTTTGATTTGTAATCGAGGATAGATGTAGATGTCTATGTGCCACAGCAACCACTTACCATCAGGTGGACTGTGTGCTCGTTTGTCACCCTATCCTATAAAAAAAAACCAGCTTAATACTTACTGTGTTTCGTATGGTAAGTGTTCTCTACACTTGTTACAAATTTAGGATAAATTCTATGGGCCACAGTATCCACTTACCACCAGGTGGACTGTGTGCTCAATTGTCACAGTCGTTCTATAAAAAGTTACCCCACCTATGGTATCCCTGTAACTATATTTCTTTAGCACCTTTGCCTAGCTAGAATAGATCGCTATACAGCACTATAAGGCCATTATATTGTAGAAGTTACTTACTTTTTAATGTTTTCAGCCCTAGACGTAAACAGAAGGATGTGATAAGTTTGTAGGGTGTACCTGTGGCATCAGAGCTCCTGGGCAGATGAACCGATTTTGATTAAGTTTTCTCTGTTTGAAAAGTGTCTTAATCGAGAGTGTTCTTACGAGTAGCTATTTTCAAGAAAATCTATTCAGCCATTTGAAGACCATCAGCTCTTTTTGCTTCGGAGGTTTTAAAATGTTTAATTTAAGTTATCTTTATCTTTTTATTTTGTGGCGAACACTGAAATAACATATTCCTTCATTCATTCAAAATTAAAATTCGACACGCGACGTTCGTCATCATAGTGCGTGGATACGTAATTGCAACTCCAAATAGGTTGATCTACATTAGGGCAGAGAGCACTGATTTATTACTACATATCGGCATTGTTGTCGTGTTGTTCTGTTGTTTATGGTGTTCTTTAATGGAGAAAGCTCTGAACTTATGACTGTAAGCAACTTCGATAGTAATATTCAAATCGAAATGAGAATTTCTGAACAAATCCTACTTCACCTACACTTACGATCTGTAGACGAAATAGGGTCAGCAAAATTTATTAATTTTGTTATTACACAAAACCTCTTAAGTATTTATGTATGACAAAATTAACGAATAAATTTATTTACCGTTTACCGTTTCCGTTACTGTTACGATCTATTAAAAGCCCACTGCTTAGTATAGGGCTTCCCAACATATTGCTCAGGTGGATACATGCCACAGTTGCCACACCTTTTCAAATAATTTTGTATTTATTTTCTCCCACATATGATCAGTACTTTACGATAAACTGAGTAATAGTAAACAACAAAATAACAGATACAAATACTAAGTAAATAAGATCTAGGTCGGAGACAGGTGTCCAAACTAGGTTGTTCTGTGCTATGGGATCACCAGGCCCCTTCGTCAGCAGAATTGATATTGCTGTTAATCTTGATAAAAATTACAACTACTTGTAATAAAAGTACATTAAAATAGACTTTTTCAGTTTGGAGAAACTGTTTCCAAGTTATTAAATGATGTTAAGTGTACATAAAAAGATAAATATAGGAACACCTAATACCTTTTAATAATTTTTAAACACTAGGCAGGCATGTTGGCAACCGCAGTCTACTGATTCCTGGTTGTTGTGAGGAAGCTACTACTGCCAATCTCCTTGCTGGTTTCCTCTTTTATACGATGGAGTTCTATAATATTAGAGTGACAACTATCATTTCACCCGGTTGTGAGTTGGGCTTGAAAGGCTTCAGCTTATGGACACCGACATACAACTCCGAAAAAAGAAGACTACAGATGTGTTGTCACCACTGAGGACAAAGATGGAATGCCTCACAGTCAGTAATTATACTGGCTCCCTATACTCTTCAGACTGGTACACAATAATAATATTATAATTATAATAATGAATTATTTATTTGCACAAATCTTTTAAAAATTAAATGGAACCCTGGCTTATAAACTAGTTGTAATAACTGTATCTTATAAACCAGTGTCTTCCTCTATTTGTCGTTGGTCCAGTGGTTGTAGTAGTGCGACTACTGATCATGAGGTCCTGGGTTCGAATCCCGGGACGGGCCAAAAAATCAATTATTGAGTTTTTCTGTCAAGAAATTCTCAGTAGCTGCCCGGAGTCAGGAAGTTGGCGGTGTCTCACCCCTGTGATAATTAAAAATGTGAAAGTGTTCCAATTTAAAAACAAAAACCGGTAAAAATTTAACGCAAAATTAAAATAAACTATTTTATAACTCTCTCTCTGAAATGAGGAGAGGTATGTGCCTAATAGTGGGAAGTATATAGCCCGTACCTTTAAAATGATGATGAGAACGATGTTTTTACCGAAGATGACGCGTCGACAACGACGCCAACTGCTAAAATAATTTTTTATAAAATAGGTAGGGGTGACAAACGAGCACACAGTCCACCTGATAGTAAGTAGATGTTGTGGCCCAGAGACATCTACATGTACCCTCGATTAAGTATCAAAACGTAGATGAGTTGTCACCCCTGAGGACTACTATGGGATTCTTTTAATAGGGGAGATTTTTTAAAAAGGGATTCCGGATCTCTACGCTCACCATACAAAACGCAGCAGTATTAAGCTTCTATTTTACGCTGGTATTCTGTGAGAAAGCGGTCCGTTTCAGGTGGAACCGACCCATTCGTGCTACAACAATAATATAGCTGCAACGCTACTCTACCATGGGAAGTTAAGTTATCAAATCAAATTTGAAAGACATGAGTATCACGAGTTACGTGAAAACGTAAACTCTTAGCCTAGCTGTCCCAATTATTTTAAATACTCAGTGTGAAAACTCAGATAGGAAATCAAATTGCGGTTTTGGCACAAACGTGGCACAGACGAAGATCCGAACCCAGAACTTTTAAATTTAAAAAGTAGGTATACCGTTTGATAACTAAAACACATTACACGATCATCCTTAATCATAAAATATAATTAGACACTATTAATAACGGCAATTTCCTTTAAAGGTTCGACCTATTATACTGCGATCTTATAACCTTACACTTCGATGTAACGATGGAAATCAAGAATTCAATTATCTATTTGCATAATTTCGCAATACTTTAATAGATTAAACTGAATTTGTCGCCGACTTTAGCGGCGATTCTTAACAACCAATAATATTTATCAACTTTCTCACAGATTAAATACACCTTTTTATCGTCGACACAGAGTAACTACACACAGAGCTAAAAATATCAACGCTTATCGACACTAAATGCAAAATCGGAACTAACATGTCCTTGAAACTATCAAAATAATTGTATATTGAGAAGAGTAAACGATACATTAAAGACACATCTAAAACTATAAAGTAAGCAATATAATGTGCTATTAAATAAATGAAACTTAAACAATAATTAATTCTAATGTATCAGTTTTGTTTCAACGCGGATCTTTACATTAAATCAAGCACCTACATATTTAATTTATTACACACACACACACACACACACACACCACACACACACACACACACACACACACACGTATTAATATGACGTATTGTTTTCTTGAC